GGGGGGGGTGGGAGGGGGTGGAGAACGAAGGCTAAAAGCTATACGTGACAGTGTAAATATAATCATAAGCTCATGAATGACATTAATATTATCTATCGAGAACCTCAAACAACTCAGGCATTTGATCTTTTCTTTTTATATATGTGCCCCCACCATCCTGAACCCCACCCTCACCACCCACATATATGATATATCATCATTGCCCCATTACATACGTTCGTGTATACAATGAAACACAAATAATTTTTTTTTTTTTTTTGCTCTTTCGTAATTTTCTTACAATAACATGGAAGCATTCTTATTCTTCTTTTATGACCGTTGTCATAACAGGAGTGGCCATGGGCGTCGCTTTCCTACATAATAATCTGTCCAGGCACATTCAAAATGTTAAACTTTGATAATTACACCTGGTCCAGAAAGTTGTCCAAATGCATTTGATGATGATGAGTATCTCACTTCAACTCTGTGAGACAATCTTTTTATTTTTTATTTTTATTTTTTTTGTTAAGGGGAGGGGAGGTAGTGGGGGGAAGGAAGGGATGGGTGACAAGACCTTTTGGCAATCACATACATTGTCACAGTGGTGTCTCTGCCTCCCTCCAAAACTTTGGCGCAAAGACGAAAAGTGGAAAAAAAAAAAGATCCGGAGGTAATTTTCTTGATACAACCTGTCTCTTTGACTGTCTTCATCGTTCTCAGCATTTTCGAACAAGACAAAGTCAAAATGGATAAATGAAGGAATGAGAAGGCTCGAATGTGCGTATCTATCTGTGGCATCCGAAGAAGATTGGACCGGACGAAAGAAGAGACCAACTTATGAAAGACTACTACTGGGTAGAACTATGACACATCCGATCGAGATACAGACGGCCTTTATACATGATTTTGGCCAACAATACAGCATCGTGGACTTCATAGATCCTCTGTCTACCTATGCGGCCAAAAGGGATGAATACGTTATGCTTGCTCTGGATCTCCCAAAAGATCACACATTTTCTATTGATGATATCATTCCTTTTCAAATGGGAGGACGCCTATACCAAATCAACACTGCACACAAGTTCAGACCGTGGTGCTTCAAATGTCGGGCATACGGTCACCTGAATACAGAGTTCGTCTGGCCCCAACACCCGCACCATGCAACAGGTTCTAAAGGTTTATTGAAGAAGGATACCCATCATCCGAACAGATGGCTTCCAGTCTCGCCAGGCTACGAGGTATGGGTATATATTGATAAGTTATCACCCCGAGGGCAGCCGTGTGGGTGGTGTTGGGAGGGGAGAGGGGATCCCCGACGAGCAGCAAGGCCGCCAGCAGAATGAAAACCCTCAAATCATCCCCAGGATGAAATAATAAGATCTCTCGAACTCAAAAGACAAAACCTCCAATATCAATATCGCAAGGGACTCAAGGAAGTGGAGGAGGGGGAGGTGGGGGAGGAGGAGGTGAAAGACTCAGAAAGAGGGGGAGGGGGTTAAGAAGGAGGAGCAGGAGGTGGAAGGGGGACACGACAGAGCACAAAGAGCAAACATGCAAACGAACTCTTAAGGGCAAAACAAAAAGGGAATCGTTTTAGACCTAAGCAAGCTCTTACCTTCCGCTGAACAATAGGTTCAGTCCGCTGGACAAGGAGGTCGAAGCCGAGGGACAAGGAGAATCTTCAACGGGATCCAAAACATAAGTTGTCAAAAAACAGCAAGACCCCTCTAACCAAATGAACACAACAACCACAAATGACATAAGCAGAATTGAAAAGGAGACTGGTAAAAAGCTTGAAGCTTCAAACAATGAATCAGAACCGGTCCCAATGGACCTAGATCCACTGAAAGACGCCTTCAGACAACAGCCCATGGAAGTGGATCCTATCGCAGGAGCCCCCCCGATGCCCTAGATATCTAGCAATGTCTCTACACCGCCAGAACCAGAAAATAAGGACTAAAATCTTCAGAATCTGGCAAAATGGCTGCTGGAAAATCTCAAACTCTAGTTCCCAGGCCTTGAGGATGACTTCAGTGATGATACGTACAAACAACTGGTCCCTCTCTTAGAAACCAGTGACAGTCTGAGAGTTGCGATGGAACAGGGCTTGCCTACATGGGTAAGTTGGCAACAGATGTTCCATCGTCTTCTGCCAATTGTGATCAGATGTTTCTTGGCCCCAGCCAACCAGCAAGCTCAAGCAGAGGAATCCATGGTCTACAACACATAGTTACAACATCAAACAATTTTGTTTACTACAATGGAAACATCGCATAATTGGTCTCAGATACAACACGCTAGTAGTAATAAAGAAGGAAATGGAAATGAAAAAATTATTAGGAAAAAAAATGTTAATAAGAATACGGTTAATACCTATAATAAAGCCACAAGCATGACATAACACATTGCCACAACTGAACCAAGTCAGGGAGCAGACCTGCTCCAGTATCAGACAACCGGGGGAGGGGGGACCTCCTGTTTTGGAGGCAGGGAAAATTTCTTTTTCTCCATGCAAAGTAGTAACATAACAAGTTATAGGAGAAAGAAAGTTTCTACTTCTCCCAGACCCCAGGAAAACAGAGACTCCCAAACGCTCCGGTTTGATTGAAGAAGACGGTACCCAAGTTGAGGAAGGCATGCTCTCAACGACACAAAACTAGGACGAAAGTCAAGGGGAAAAGGAAAAGGAAGGGACAGGGAAGAAAAAGGAGAAGGGGGAAGAAGGATTCACCACAGAACAACTGAATTTAAACATTGGTTGGGAACAGATTGGCAAGGGGGCAGTAGAGGAAGGAAAGGAAAATGGGGAGGGGGGAATTGGAGCACAAAATTTGCAAGGGAGTAAAGTGGGGAATATCCCAATCTTTGCTTTCACCCAGGAGAGTATGTTTCTCTCTCAGGAGGCCTTGAAAATAATAACAGAGGAGAAGGTGAAAATTACAAAGGAGAAAGAGGTGACGAAATATGCAGAATTTTCAGAGCTTCAGGCTAAAGAAAAAAAAAAAAACGAAATCAAGAGAAAAAAAAAGAAGAAAAAAAACAAACAAACAACTTGGATCAATTAGAGGACTTTGAAGGATTACTTGATGAACAAGTTAATCTTTCACATGGCAAGGAGGTGAGTCAAAAAGTTCACTCAGTACCCAAAAAAAACCCTCCAAGACCACCCCCAGTTTCTCAAACAGAAGGGGAATTGATAAGTAGGCGACAAAAAATCCGCCACCTTCTATCAAAGGGACACACAATTTTTTTACTATCCAAATATGGGGTGGCAGTCCTACCGTTCAGACAAAAAGAACGGGGTTGGGAAGTTGGCTTATCAAAATTGCCAAATGCTCTTCATGAAGAGGTGACATAGCAGGGAACAGCACCAGGTTTCATCTCCTCAGTTATGGGAAGATTGACAGACGAAGCTCATTTCAAAGCTCAGATGATCACCCTTTTTTTTTTTTTTTATAAAAAAAGGCCCCTGCACAAGGCCTCTATCCTGGTGGTGATAAGAGAACCACCAGGATTGAGGCTTTGCCTGGCGGGCCACTCCATCTATTGGTGGGGAGCATCACTTGCTGGAAACCGGGTCCAGCGTCCCTTACATGCATCTTTACAAAACAATACATCAATGTACATCAATGTTTGTGACGCCATTGTGCTAGAAACCGGGTCCAGTGTCCCATATCCTTGTCTATTTTGCCAAAACCAATCCTGCAGCAGGGTCAGGTGTCGGAAGGGAGCACTGGGGGGCACCAGTAGGGTCTCCTCCAACCTCTGACCCCTGCCGTCCACCAACTATCCTCATGGCGCCTATTGTTGAGCATCATGGGACTCAATCAGAATTAGCACAGAATTAGCACAGCAAATGTCTCAAACTATCTAAACAGTGGTTCTGACATATGACCACATCAGACACCTGGTCAGACACCTACTTCTGAGCTAATTGAGTGACGAGCCGTAAGAGCAGTAAGAAGGAGCGAGAAGGAGCGAGAAGCGAGCGAAAAAGTGGCAAGGAGAACTGAAGAGACAAAGGAAGAGATAAAACAAGAAGGAGAATCAAATAGTCCAAAGGCAATCAAGGCAAGGCCTCATAACCAGGAAACACAGGAAAACCCCGGGAGGTCTGAGAATGGTCGGAGAATGGCCGGAGAATGGCCGGACTCATGCAGCTGGTGATATTTCTGCCAGAGACAACGGGTGCGGTGGGAAGGGGTCTGCAAAGTCCTGGGCAGGGCGCAGTGGGGTATTAAGATCAATCTTCGTCCAATCGTGAAGGACCAACTGGTAGTCTCTTATTATTTCTGTCTGGGGCTCTTCCTCCGATTCCCTTCCCAATTGGCGGCTGGTCCATTTTACCTCGGCCATCCATCCCCCTCTCTCTCCCCCTAGCCAGTCCCTGCCGAAGTCAGAGATAATCCTGTTTATGTCCCCCCAACTACTCATCTGATCGAGTTTGTCCTTGACTGTCTTCCATCTCGTCGCTATCTCGTGTTGGACCCGTGTGCGGATTTGTTCCATGGCCTCACCATCCTCCACCCTTGCCCCCTCTATCTCGAGACAGCATCTTCTCCACCATATTGTCCACAGGACACTCCGTCTGCCTAAGCTGAACATATTTTCCTCGAATGCGTTCCCCCGAATTGTCAAATCTCAGTTCCCAGCAGGTATATCCTCTATGTTAATTCTATGTGATTATGCCCGCAGGTTGTCCATAAGCAATGTCTTCCTTAAGTACGATCACTCACAGTTGGTCAACCTATGCTGGTTCAACCACCAAATGTTATGTGGTCTCCAACAATTGAAGGTAAAATTACCAGATTTCTGGACAGAAAGTCACGTTACCATCTTATTGTCCTGACTCCTTCAGTACGGTCTGCTAGAACAAGGGGGTATTCTAGACGATGCTC